TTCTAGGCCTATACCACACCTCCCATTTCCGGTTCCAAGACGCTGGTACCAGCCGCGGTTGTTTGCACGACATAGCCATCACGAAGGTCGGAGCTGTACCTGAGCTCCACAATACTTGGTGGACTTGGGACTGGTCCTTACAGCGATCACCACTCAAGCTTGCGACCACTAATTCTAGGAGCTCTTGCTGTGAAGGAAGGAAACATCGCAGCCATGACAGGTAAGTACCCACTCGAAGCCTGCTACGCGTATCTTTATATTCTAACGTGTCGCATCAGAGCCCCTCCCCGCCGAAGTGGAAGCTTCCTACTCGGTCATCATCGACGAGATCCTACGCGCCAGCGACATCAATACCATCTCTGCAAAGCGCATACGGAAGGGTCTACAAGAAAGAGTCGAGGATGACCTTTCCAAGCAGAAGGTTTGAAGCTCGACATGGCATACCATGGCATAAACTGAGACGAACAAACAGGAGCAAATCACTACGCTCATTATGCAGCGGTTCGACAAGTTCAACAACGAGCAGAATGGCGGATCCGAAGTTTCTGAACCCATACCTACAGTTGAAAACGGCGCAAAGACTTCGAATGATGATACCTCGGACGTCTCCCACAACAAGCGATCGCCGCCCGGTGACGAGTCAGCGCTGTCTGAGGTCGAAGATGTTGCACCTCCTAAGAAGAAGGTCAAGAAGACCAAAGTCAAGGACGAGGACGATGATGCGGCTTTCGCGGCGAGGTTACAGGCCGAGGAGAACGCGCGCATGGGCAGGGCGACACGTGGTGGGAACACAAAGCGGAAAGCACCCGCGCCGAAGAAGCCCAAGACTAAGAAGAAGAGCTCAACCCGGATCAAGGATGAAGATGACAGCGACATTGCGTCAGGTAGTGGAGGAGAAAAGAAGAGCCCAAGTCGGAAAGGAGGTTTCCATGTCAGTTAATTCCCCTCAATCTACACCGCTACCCGAGTCAAAGCTAACTGCTCTTTCAGAAACCGATGGCTCTTTCTCCAGCCCTCTCCGAGCTCCTTGGCGAAACCCAGTTGTCGCGTCCACAGACGGTTAAGAAGATATGGGAGTACGTTAAAGAGCGTGACCTGCAAGACCCTGCAGACAAGCGTCAAATCCGCTGCGACGATGCTATGCGCGCAGTCTTCAAACAGGACCGCGTTCACATGTTCACCATGAACAAGATCCTTAACCAGAATCTCTATGCTGTGGATGAGGTCATCTCTACATAGTGTTAATACGGAAACGTACTGCAGTCCACCAGGCCTTCACTACACGCTACCTCGCGCGCCATAACCGCAGCGAAGAAGAAAGTAAATCTAATCCACACAACCACATACTGCATCCACAAACTCAGTCCACTCTCACGACTATATCACGAGCATTCGTACACGCGGCGATTCTCGACGACCAGGTTCACTACGTCACATTTTCGTCTCTTTTGATTTTAGCAGCATGGCGCATCGACGGTGTTTCTTCATGGGGATTTTCCAGAAGCGCGCATCCTAGTCCCGTTTGTATGGACATGGGAGCTTGTCCTTCCATTATCTTTTTTCTTCCACAGTTTCTCGTCACATAAAATCTGGATGCATGGGGAATGGAGTGGAGAGAAGAACACGTGCATGGATAAAGGCATGGCAAACGGTTGGTGAGACTAGCGGGGTTGGTGCTTCCTTGGTCGTCGTTTGCTATACTCTAACCAAATGCTATTGTTAAACAAACAGTCAGTTCACCATGATGATGTGGTACTAGACGTGACTTGAGAAGTAAATAATATGCAGTAGTGACAGTGAGGCGTCTAGTGTTACAAAAGTACAGTTATACTATGTGTTACGCACGTTAATGCATCGTGCTAGCCATGCAGACACAGATAATCATTCACGAATAAAAACAAGAGGTATCCAATACCGGTACTCCAAGACCCATTTACAATACATCCGCAAACATGACTCAAGAGCTCATGCCGAATCCTTCAGCTCATCCAGCGTTTAAGATCTAGAGACCTTCAGGGAGCTGAAGCTGGAAGTTCTCATGATCTTCCTCGAGAGGATCTGCACCATGTAGCTGGTTGTTGAAGCTATTCATCCATGCATCATCGTCCTCGTCGTCTGAGCGGGAGAGAAGTAATAGTTCCATCTCACGCTCGAGGTCCTCAGCTGTGCGGCGGGGCTGCTCTTCCTCTGAAGGTGCGACGAGTGTAGCGTCGGTGGCGGTGGAGCTGCAACGAGACATGGGACCGCGAGACCGTATAGTACCAGTGTTGGTACTCGCACTGCGGATGTGAGTGGAGGAGGCGGGCCGAGAAGCAGCGGAGAAAGGAGCAGGCTTGGTGACGTTGGAGAGAGGCTTGCGAGCAGCTGGAGCAGCGCGTCCGGCGCGGCCTTGAGCGTAGCCGATGGTGCTTTTCGAAGCTGCTGCAGCAGACGCTTGACGAGATGCTGAGAGCTCCGTGGGTGTCTTTGCTCCCTTCCTGCTTGCGACTAGTCCAGTGGGCACGCGCGACTTTACAGCTGCAGCGGGAGCGGCGTAGCTAGGCTTGGATGGTGGAGAGAGAGCGGCAGCTGCAGACCTGGCTCGCATAGTCGATGGCCCAGTCATCCTCGTCCTAAGTGCAACGGGTGCCTTGGGTGCCTCCTTCTTCGCTTCCTTGATACCGTAGTATTCCTTAGTCTCAGCATCATTCCTAGCCATCTGTGCGGCAAGGACCTTCTCCATGTGCTCGTCGCGCTTTTTGCGACCCTGCTGTATCTCCTCCTCAAACTTGCGCTGCTCACGGGTCCTTCCGTCGTCCTCGATTGGGTTGTGGTAGGCTTGCCAGATGCCGCGGACCATATCCTGATTACTGAGTTTGGGAATGGTCCAGTTCTTGGGGAGGTATTCGTCCATGTCATCTTCGAGCGGGATCTCCTTGGGTGGCATGTACTCAATCTCAGGCACGTCATCTTCATCCTCTTGGGCGACTTCGGGTTGGTGGATCTTCACTTTGGGTCGGCGCATGCGAGGGCTCAGTTTCTGCGTCTTTCCAACGGAGGAAAGAGGCGCTGGAGTTGCAAAGGCCCTAGACTTGGCATTGGTCGTCTTCATACCCAGCGGCGCGCGAGTTCGCGGACCTTAACACGTCAGTTGTCGTCTTGGGCAGTCTGTCGTCGCTATGCTTACCGGCTGGTGTAACAAAGGCATTCGCGTCTATCTTTCCGCCCTTGTTGGTGGTGAAGAGATCATTTCCCTTGCCTTTGGCGTTTCCAGCTCTGCCCACGGCATTCTCGTCGTTGAGGGGGATCTTGAAAGGCGTCTTCGGGGCTTTGTTTCCGGGTGTTTTGGCGTTGAAGCTCTTGAGGCCGGCATTGAGCGACTTTCCCGCAGCGCCGGCGTGCAGATGGCGGACGGCGTTCTCCTGATCGTTTGCTGCGAGAGTAGCCATTATGGGCGTTACATTGAGCGAGTCGTGTGCGGTGTGGTTTATTCCTATCTCGTAATGGCGACGATGGTATGCGATGCTCGCCTATGTTTACCAATGGTTGCTAGGGCGGCAGGAAAGAGGGTCTGGGCTTTGGAAAGGGTCCGGGCGGAGGTAGTCCCTTTCGGCAGCGCCTGCCCGCATTATCAGCTTGCACACCCGGGCAATTCTCATACAACAACCACTCTCCAACACTGCGCTGCACCACATCCCTACATAGCCTGCAGCTGTCGGCCTTTCTTCACTTGTAAACACACTACAGACACCCTTCTCTACCCCACACTACACACCTCCAGCAGCTATGGATCAGATCAAGAAGGTGAGTCCACGCATACCCCGCCAAATCCCCTTTCTTTGGTACCAGTTGTACCCGACGCCACAATGCACATCAGTTGTACAAAAGTAGACGCTGACATGCCACTTTTTACAGCGCATGGAAGCTCTCCGCGTTGAGGCGGATGAGAGCAGCGCCCGCGCCGAGGAGCTCAAGGCAACTGTCAAGCGCCTTGAAGCCGAGACAACACAGAAGGAGCAGGAGATTACTTCGCTGACGCACAAGAACTCTGTGCTTGAGAGCGAGGTTGAGAAGCTTGAGGGGCAAGTCAAGATCCACAAGGACGAAGCTGGTGCAGGTGCTCAGGCTGGCACCCAAGCCGAGAGCCTCCAGCGCAAGATCCAAGTTCTCGAGGAAGAAGCTGAGGAATCGGACAGGACGATCCGCGAGCTCAACGAGAAGTACGTTCACTCCTTTCTTGCTTTCACCGCGTTTACCGCTGTCCCTATCCACTATCTACTACCCCTGATCTGCATCCACTGACACGTCACCCGCCAGGCTCCGCCAAACCGACGTCAAGTCCGGCCACTACGAACGCAAAGTCCAAGCCCTCGAGCAGTCCCGCGACCAGTGGGAAACCAAGTACGAGGAGATGGCCAAGAAATACGCCGACACCAAGAAGGAGCTCGACGACTTTGTCAAGGAGATCGGTAACATCTGATCTCGTTGTCGTCTCTCTTTTGCGGTTGTTGACTGTATTTAGTCGAGTTCTGAGTCGAGCTTCGATGTCGTCCCTCTGCGGATCCTGATTTCGAGCGCGTGCGACAACATGAACGGCGACGGTAGCGGTGGAGGATGATACTACGGCATGCGGTGGAGCTTGGAGAAGAGGCAGATTTCACATCACATTCCCCCCCGTACCCCTACACTACCCCTATATATCTGTTTTCTTTCCTGCGGCTGCTTGCTGGGCGGGCTTGTTCGCTTTAGATAATCCCTGAGCGAATACATTGGCGGTTCCTGACAACAAACCATTCACTTTGGTACTCACATGTCATTATTGGGATTGACAAAGTTAAACAAAGGAGCGGTGTATGACCCACCACGCTATCATGAACCGGGCTGTCTGAGATGATCGTAGCAGAATCACGACATAACCAACGCGCCGATATGCGGATTTTGTACTCCAAGTCTCATGAAAGGGTATCATTATATCGATGTGTACAGCTTCTCAACTTCTGTGCACTTTGCATCGACTGCGTCTACTTGCTCGTTCTGGCCTCCTTCTGCTTCCTCTTCTTCAAACCTTGCTTCATGCGCTCAGCCTTTCTCTCCGTCTTGGTCTCATACCTAAACTTCTTCTTCTTCTTTTTAGGCCTCTCACTATTCTTCGGCCAAGCCTTTGTCCACACCCTCTTCTTGCCCTCTGCCTCTTCCTCTGCCTTTTTCCTCTCCTCCTCGGCCTTTCTCTTCGCAGCAGCATCCTCGTCCTCCTCGCCTGGTCTCGAGAAGCCCGCTTTAGATATGCCAACACTTTCTATGGTGACGGTTGTATATTTGTCTTCGTCGACGTACTCGTCTTCCTGATTGATGGGCTCTGGTTCTTGGAAGCCTGTGAATTCTTCTTCGTCGTCGTCGTCATCGTCGGCGGATGTCTCGCCCGTAACGATGTCGTCCAGATCGCCATTTGCTTGCTTGACGAGTCGGTTTACTTCTTCGACGTGCTTCTCTAGGTCGACTTTGCGCTGTTCTCGGAGCTATAGTTTGACGTGTTGTTAGCATCTTTGTCTATGGTGCAACCCAAAAAGTGTATTTATGCGACAAGACGTGAAAGTGCCTGTCACGCAACATTGAGAAAGGCTGGAACTGGAGTCATAGCCTACCTCGCGCCTAAACCTCAGCTTCTCCTCCTTCTCCCTCTTAGCATTCTCCTCTTGTGCATGCTTTATCCGCGCAAGTTTGCGCTTATGGAAGCCTGTGAGGTACTCTTCGCGCGCGGAAAAGTCAAACTCGATCTTTTCGGGGACTGTCACGGCGATTTTGCGTTTCTTCGATGGCGGCGGCATGTTCCTCATGGTTGCAGCTTGTGCCAAGTGTGGTGTCGAGTGCGGGGCTGAGAGTGATTTGGCTGGTGCTGTCGCTGTCGCTGGCGCTGGTGTTCGCAAAGCAGGTGTCGGAGTTTGGGAAAATTACCTGGGTGGACAGGGATCTTAGGAATTTAGGTGGGGCCGAGGTATTTTGGCGCTACACCGACTAGGGTCTACCATGGACGCAAGATTGTGATACATCAAGACATGATTTTACAGCCTGATTGCCTTCCCAAGAAACTGAGAGGTGGATGTCATAGTTTCAAGGAGCATAGAGACCGATAAGGTTTGATGCAATATTCGACGGCGATGCACGTTATTTGCCACAATTTCCAGCAATCTATGCGTCTATCTGCGTCTTGTCGCCAGTCAGGCCTATGCTTTCTTGCAACGGGACTTGCGTGCTGTTATGCGAGTTGTCCATCCCGAGGATCTTCCTCCTCCACGAAAGCGATTCTAGGTGTTTCTTCGCCTTGTGTGTGATACACAGCGCCGAGTCAACGTCCTGGAGACCAGTCTCTCCAAACATGGCAAGGACCATGAGGCCTAGGAAAGAATGGTACATGTCCGGTGGGTCTCCAGTGACCTTGCCGAACCCTCCTACGAGATGCTGCGTCTTGTCTAGCAACCATTTCCTGATGGGTTGCCGATCGATGATATCCAGATGACCAAGGAGTTGTAAAGGTGTAGAAGTCCAATAGGCGTAACATGTATCCGCTACCTTGTTGCATCTACCATTCACTCCCACCCACTCCAGTTCAAAGTGGATATGGGGTCGTCCTTTGATGTTTGACTTCGCTTGTGCGGATGGACGGGAGCCCAACTTGACAAACGTATGCGCGTCATGGCACGTTTCTGATGTATCTGTCTCGTCGTTCAAGGTGTCAAGACCATCATCCTCGTCCAGCGTCAGAGTCTGCCTTGAGACAAGCCAGTGCAGGGTCTTTGGAACGTCGGTCACTCCACGGATGAGACCGTCCGGTTTTTGCGACGGTGGTAAGGGCAGACGACCGACGAAATGCAGAGCAGCGATGGCACAGCAGGTGAAGCCAGCGTGTGCCTCATGATAGGGCGCCTCGGAGATACCTCCATCGTAGCACTCTGCTTGTCGAACACAAGTGACAAACTTGTCAACATCTACGTCGGGTACGCCTTCACAAGGTCCCTCTAGGTCGCCTCGAAGTATCCATCTAATAGCTGTAGCCATGTAGCCGAACCTTGAGTCGTTGCCGCCATGAACATAGTCACCATCGCCCAAGGTCTCTCCGAAGCTGCCCTCTGGTCGCTGCATCTTAGCCAGCCATATCAGAATCTCTTTCCTCTTCACCTTCTCTAAATCATCTCCCAGCACGACCAGCGTAAGGAGCGCAAAGAAAGTTCCAGGAATGTGGGCAGGGTCCCAGTTTTTGTTTTCTTCACTTCTGAGCTCGCCATAGTTGGACCCTGGCCATGGACGAAAACCTCCTTCAGGCAGTTGGCAACTGTAGACCCAATCAATGTGGCCTTGCCGCTCCTCGGCTGACAAAGCGGCGTCTAAATCTCCCAAAATGTCGAGGGCAGACACAGTGAAGAGGGCCAAGAGCATGCGGTTGGAGTCATTGCTGGTGTAGAAGTGCGGCAGCAGAGTCTTCAAATTTCGCCGCCAGTACTTGATGTGGCGAGCATAGTTGAGCTGTGTGTTGGCATCAAAGGCAGCTGGAGCCATGATGGAAAAGGAAGCGTGCTGCGCGGACCGGGAGCGTTTGCCGAGCGAGATCTCGGTTCCCCTGCGAAGCTTGGGTTTTGATGGCGGGGCTGACCTGGAAGGGCCAAGGCGATGTATGCGTACAGTAAGACGGATGAATGGTTAACAGAGGTAGGGTCCACGCCGAACAGGCTTTGGTGTGTCTCTTGGATGCACCTGCTTCCGAAACCTGGGTAATCAAGGTTACGACCACGAGCACGTGCAGGGGCGGTCGGGCAGTGATGACGGCGCTCCGCAGATTACTGCCTGTGTATGTAATCGAGGGTGCAAGTGATGGATGTGTCGACTTTTGGGCGCGACAGCATTAGCACGGCAATGATGCATACAGTAGACGGTAGTAGGCGCGTGGCTCTAGCTTTAGTCTACTTCGTATGCAGGGGCCGCGCTTCGGGGTCGGTGAATTGTGTTGATATTTATATCGTCCGCTAAAGGCGAAATGTCGGGAGCTCACAAGATTGGTAGGCTTGCCTAACGGTGCCAGGGCTGTCACGACAAACGGCCACACGCAGGGGTACATGAGACATCATTCAGCTCTGCCAGTTCTGCCCCAGCTGCGGCCTGCAAAACCCTCCTCCTGACGTGCCTCAGTCTCGACTTGCTCGACTTGCTTTCAATTCCCCAGACGCCACCTGCACCGTCCTGTCACCCGAGTCCTTTCTTCGTTGGTGCGACGTCACATACGCCGCCGCTCTGTCTGTCACTGGGCCTGCGCTTGCGTGTTCCCCAGACTTATCTTCTCCGCGCGCTCACTACTACGGCCGTTGAACGACCACACCCGTACCTAACTTAGTCGTTTCTTTTTGATACCCCACATTAGCCATCACTTGGGCGACTCTACCAACACACGCCGCCATGACGACTGGTTTCGCGGCGTCCTTCTGGTCGAGCGACTATGCCGGAGGTAAGAGCTGCAACCGCACACAACACCACCCCACTTTGGCTGACTCTCCCAGGCCTCGGCGTTCTCTTTGGAAAGCTGCAGCAGGGGGTCCAGGAAAACCAACAGATTCTGACTGTTGCCCGCATGCGAGCCGATGCCGAGGAGGCCTATGGAAGCAGCTTGTCCGCCATCACACCAGCCACAGATCGCATAGGCGGGGGCTTCAGCAGAGATGAGGGCGCAAGCGTGCGCAAGGTGCGTCAGCAGGAGACATGGCGACAACTCCAGGCTAACGAGTACTAGGCCTACGAGGGCGTGCGCACCGAGATGGAGGCAGCGGCCGCCAACCACAAGAAGATCGCATCCAACATCCGAGAACTCGTTGTAAACCCCTTCGGTCGCTGGTGCGATGCGCATGCTGCCCGCGTGCAAAACTCCCAGGATGATCTTCAATCGCGCATCAAGATACATGACCGACAAGCCGATGCTGTCCGCAAGTACCGATCACAATACTACAACAAGTGCCGCCTCGTCGAGGATCTGGAGGAGGAGGATAAGCTTGCGTTCCAGGACCCCCAAAGCGAGGCCGCACAGAGCCCCAAGATGAAGGTGCCCACCATAAAGATGTCTGAGCCAGAGAACGAAGAAGAAGAGCCCATCGATCTTGGTGACGAAACCTACCAGCCCGACCAGGTCAAGAAGATACTCACGCACATGCTGGACAACATCAAGATCGCGGAGGTCAAGGTTCCCATCCTCGGTACCTACCAAAACTGCTCAAGCGGTGCCGACATCACCGAATACATCCAGAAGCACATGGCAGCCACCACAGTGAGCTATGCGGAGCGCATTGGTCAGGACCTCGTAGCACATGGCTTCCTGCGCTTAGTCGGCAATGTCGGCAACACTTTCGCGAACAGCTCTCGAATGAACTACCAATGGAAGCCCAAGACGTTCCAGGTTACTGGACTGCCTGAGAAGAAGCAGCCCCTGGCTCGATCTTCCACCGCCATGTCGGCCTCGTCAGCTGACAGCATTGCTGTTGATTCACCCGTCTCAACCGTGCAGGAATACCTCCAGGGATGGAACCCACTTAACAACCAGTACCCGAACGAGACACCAGCAGAGAGACTTAGGAGGGAGGCTCACGAGTCAGATGAGCGCTACAAGGCCTCTGTCAAGAAGCTTGACTCCCTACGCTGCAATCTGGAAGAGGCTATGGTGGATCACCTCAAATTTATGGAGCGTTGCGAACTGGATAGGCTGAAGGCCATCAAGGCGGTCATCCTGGATTTCTCTGGTGCTGTCAGCAACGTCATTCCTAGTCTACAGAGCACCGTCGACAAGATGATGCTGTTCCAAGAGACCGTTCAGCCTCTAGGTGATCTCCGATACATGCTCGAGAACTACAGGACTGGGCCATTCGTGCCTAGAGTTACGACCTATGAGAACTACTACAACTCAGTAGACGGTATGATGCACTGCATGCCCAGTTACAACAATATACTGACAAACGCATAGAGCAAACATTCGGTGTAGACTTGGAGGCTCGGGCTCGCTCAGACAAAAAGCGTGTTCCAGTGCTCATTACCACTGTCCTTACATTCTTGGACAACCACTATCCCGACTTGGAGGGCGACGAAGCTCGCCGTGGTATCTGGCTCGTTGACGTCCCTCTGGCGCAAACCCACACCCTTAGGTCTGAGATCAACACTGGCAAGAGGTTCCCTGATGAACTACTCGAGAAGTACGACGTACCCATCGTTGCTAGTGTCCTTAAGCTTTACCTTTTGGAACTACCTGGTAGGTAACAACTCTGCATGTCGAGTCCTTAGCTAACCATACCAGACTCACTGGTTTCTTCTCACGTCTACGAAATTGTCAAGACTATCTACAGCACCACCGCTACGGATGTTTCTGAAGAGACTCGGGTCTCTGTTCTTCAATCTACTCTTGGCCAACTACGTCTCGCTAACATCGCAACGCTGGACGCTATCTGTACCCACTTCACTCGTCTCATTGAGCTGACTTCGGCCGACGAGACTTATGTTACAGCACTGGCCAATGCGCTTGCGCCATGCATTCTGAGGCCAAGACAAGAATCAAGTCTGACGATGAACGAGCGCTATAGCTACCGTCTCGTCCGCGACCTTTTCGCACACAAGGATGCAATCTTCGGAGAGTTGAAGCGCGCGAGCACACTCACTCACTCGGCTTCGGGCGCCCAGCGTCCACGGGCGATTTCAACTGATGAGAGTAACCGACGGGCAAACATGGAGGAGCGCCAGCGTGCCATCGCGGCTCAGCGTTCTCCTCGGGCGACTTCGCCAGCACCTGGCTCGCGCGTCTCTGGCTCACATCGCCGTGACCGAAGTCAAACTCGATTCCCAGTGAACACATCATCACCCACCGAAACGCGGAGGAGTAACGGAACAAACCGTGGTTCGCTTGAGGTGCCCGGAAGCGACGACAGTCCTACTCACGAGACAACTCCTGTAACCACGAACGGCACAACAGAGGCTGCCACTGCTCCTGCTCCTGCTGCCGCGCCTGCACCTGCTGAGCACCCAGCGCCCTCGAGCACTCGGGTGCCTTTCCCACGAAAACATGCAGGCAGCCTGACGAGGGGTAACAGGGACTCTACTGGTAGCCTGAGGGGTGAAGACATCGCGCCGAGAGGCGTCACGCTAGAAGACACTGCGCCACGAGGTGTTACGCTGGAAGACAAGCCCATGGACGATTAGTGGTAAACATGGTTCAGACTTCGGCAAGCATTTTCCTTTGGGAAGTGAGAGAAGACAGCCTACACCGCCCGGCCCGCCCAGAGAGTCCTATGTATACTAGAAAATAATATACTGGGGAACTCGCTAGGGACTGACCCTAAGAGCGAGTAACATGACGGGCAGTCGTAGAGCACGTGTGGAGGAGTGAATAGCGTATTTGAACGCTGTATGCATAGTCTGGGACAAGAGATTTGATGGCATGTCTGATGGTTGTATGTGGAATGCAGCATGATAATTACGAGAGCAGATGGCAATTGAAATATGATGTTTGTTCACTCGACCCTGCTTGTTGACAATGGCGGCTCGTACCTGAGGCTAACCAGGGTGACCGGCACGCTAGTACTCAGCTGTCGGGAAAAGCCCAGACCTCGTCGTCACACTCGCATGTTGAGTTCCAAGGCGGAGCAGCATGGAATGGACATGGGGGTCAGCTGTGTGGCTGGGCATCGGCTGCCCAATCTCCAGGATATATACATGGTCTCGGTCGACTTTTTGAGATGCCGCTCACTTTGCGCTCGTCTACACTCTCTTCTTGCTCCTCTTGCGGTTGCAGGGCCTCTCACACTCACTCGTGGTGCGCCCCGACCCGTCTTCGATCAAACCCCACGTTGATCGCCGCACGAATCACATTGCGATCGCGATCGAAGCTTCCCACTTTTTGGGCGTTCGCTATCACCGCATCTCATACCAAGAGTGACGGCGCCATGTGTCTGGTCAAAGTTAAGCAGGAAGAGGACCATGTAGTCCCGTACCGTGTCGTCCAGCAGAACCGCCATTCGTCGCATCGCCGCACATCACGCCAGTCGCGCGACATTGAACGCCGCTACTCGCGCACTGAGATAGTGCACGACTCTCCTCCACGGCCTTCAGCATCCTACATTTCAGTGCCCTCGCCAAAGCCACTTCAGATCCCCGCACCACAGCCTGTGCCTATGTTCGTTCAGCCTCCACCCCCGGCGCCTATGCCGGCTCCACCTCCACCGCCTAGCCACATCTCATCGCACCATACCCACGCCCAGTCTCACCACGGCGGCGCACACTATGTCGAAGTCTCGCCACGGTCTAGTATGAGCTCTCGCTCATCCAGCCCTGGGCGCAGCGAATATGTGTATAGAGAGCGCGAGGTCAGGCGCGAGCGCGAGCGCAACTATAGTCCGGAGAACCCTCGCTATGAGCACTACAGATATGTAGAGCCTGCATCGAGTGAGAGCGATCAATATGAGAGATACCAAAGGCAGGATAGGAGTAGGCAACGCAGTCGCAGCCGTGGCGGTTATGATGACAGAGAAACTAATACTAGGGTTTCGTACAGCAGGCGGTGACCGCCTGCATGCGAGTAGAGAAATGTGTCATGTTTGGGGGGTATCATTGTTCTGATGGCGTAGGATCGGTCTCGTGCCTTTACTCTAATCTTGAAGGATGTGTAGCATTTGTTTGTAGCTGTGGTGAGGTTATCTATAGCTCTTTCCCGTGTTTAATCTAGCATTTCGCGTTCAACTGGCCGAATGCTCGGTGGCTATGAGGTCATCCGTGATGTTGAGTAGCATGCACGAACCAGCGAAGAGGTCCGCGCCGCACTTTCCGAGCTGGAGAGAATCAGGTCCACATGTTGATCAGCCCAATTGACAAGTTCCGGCTGCCGGTGTAAGCGATGATCAGGGAAGCCTTGTAAAGGGTCGGGCACCAGTCGAGTGGTTTACATGCTGGGTTGCGATCAGCATTGATCCAGGCCAACAATATTCTGTGAGCTGAGAACAACCGTCAAAGCACACGTGCTTACTTACCGCGACCGTCCTACTTCGCGCAAACGCTTCGACTGCTTGTGGCCCATGGCAAAATCCGGGACATGATTGGAACACCCGTGCAGTCCTCTTCCGCCGCTCTCTACCGCCGACCATGTCTATCCGCGTCCTGATCAAAGATTACCCACACCGCGCAATCGCCCTTGCCACATCGACGCACGCACTCGTCCTCCGACATAGCTCATCGACCACCGAGCAGAATGGCAATCCCAATGCCTCATCGACGTCGCTGGGGAGCAATGGCGCCGGTGTCGCGCGCTGTATGGTCGAGTTCACCAGGCTGGAGGAAATCGAGCTAGATGATTACCGGGCGCTACACTCAGTCCAAGTACACGGCACATTGGGCTTGATTACTGTGAATAGTGATGTCTTCCTAGTCGTCGTCAATGGCGCGAGCAAGGTGGCCACGGTACGGCCTGGCGAGACGGTGCAGAGGATACACTCAGTCGGCTTCTACTGCTTAACCAGCACGAGCTACGACACCCTGCTCAACGACGAAGTCAACCCCTACCCTACCGACACCATCGACGATGAAGGATATGAAATGGGCTTTGGTGGTAGGAAAGAGCAATCGCCCATGGAACACCCGTGCCTGGCGCTCAAGAAGATCCTCAGTAGTGGAACCTTTTACTACAGCTCAGACTTCGACCTCACCCGACGACTACAAGACCGTACGACCGATGCCGCGACCGTTTCGATCGATAGCCTAGATGCTGGCTTTCTATGGAACTCATACATGATCCAGCCACTGGTAGACTTCAGAAGTCGCCTTGCGCTTAGAGAGAAGGAGGCTCTGGATGCTTCGGGGATTCTGACATCTGCAATTCGGGGTTTCGCCCTTACCATCACTATCCCCAAATCTTCCGCCCCTATCAGAGTTCAAGACTCGGGAATGCCATCTTCCATGACGCTGATCTCAAGATTATCGTGCAAGAGGGCAGGGACAAGGTTCAACTCGCGAGGTATCGACGATGATGGGAACGTCGCAAACTTTGTCGAAAGCGAGACAATCTATTGGGCGCCCTCCGGAGCCTGTTTCTCATACGTGCAGGTGCGAGGAAGTGTACCCATCTTTTGGGAACAGCAGGCTGGTCTGCTTCCAGGACAGCAAAAGATCACCATCACTCGGTCACCAGAAGCCACGCAACCCGCCTTCGATAAGCACTTTGACAACCTGGAGCTGAGCTACGGCACAGTTCATGTCGTCAATCTCCTAAGCAACGAGAAACAGAACGAGCTAGAGTTGACGCATAGATATCGCGGTCATGTCAGAAACAGCCCGCTAAATCAAGGGAGCGACCTCAATGATCGCCAGCACGATCTCATCAAGCTGACGGAATATGACTTCCATGCCGAAACGCGGGGGCCAGGTGGCTATGAGATGGCTAGCATGATTGCTCAGTGGATCCAAGATTCTGCCGAAGGATTTGGGTACTATCTTTCTAAGGAGGTGGATGAGGTTGCTAGGCACAATGGAGAAAACTACGCTGTACGCCGGACAATGAGCATATTACAACAGGAGGGTGTCTTCAGAACAAACTGCCTGGATTGCCTTGATCGAACGAATCTTGTCCAAACCATTATCAGCAAGATGGCCCTGGAGATCTTCCTGAGTCACAAGGGCCTTCGAGCCAGTCAGGACTTCTGGGTCAGACATTCAAGTATGTGGGCAGACTGCGGCGATGCTCTTTCGAAGATCTACGCGGGTACTGGAGCGCTGAAGTCCTCATTTACGCGATCTGGGAAGATGTCGCTTGCTGGCGCTCTGGCAGACGCTCGTAAGAGCGCCACTCGAATGTACATAAACAACTTTGCGGATAAAGGGCGACAGAACACGATCGATATGCTCCTAGGAAGATTGATTGGCCAGGTTCCAGTGCATCTATACGATCCACTTAACGACTATGTGGTCGCGGAGCTTACGCGAAGATCTGCAGAGTACTCAGAGACCGAGATGATCAATATTCTGGTCGGTACCTTCAATTTGAACGGAAAGACAAGTGGCATCAAGAGCGATCTTTCACCATGGCTATGTCCGGACGTCGACCCGTCACAACAATGCCCCGAGATAGTGGCTGTAGGGTTTCAAGAGATTGTCGAATTAAGCCCTCAACAAATCATGTCGACAGACCCGGACAGACGCGAAGCTTGGGAAGAAGCCGTCAGAGCGTGTTTAAACAACAACGCTGAGAAACACAGGAAGGATGAGTACGTCATCCTTAGAGGTGGTCAGTTGGTGGGAGCGAGTTTGTCGGTCTTCGTCAGGTCAGACTGCCTCAAGCACATCAAGAATGTTGAAGGCGCTTTAAAGAAGGTATGTCAACGCGATCTACGCTTTCACATATAGAGCTAATTTATATCTTAGACTGGCATGTCAGGTATGGCCGGCAACAAAGGAGCTGTAGCTATTCGATTCGAGTACGCCAACACTTCGATCTGCCTGGTCACAGCACATCTTGCAGCTGGATTTGCCAACTACGAAGAACGTAATCGTGATTACAAAACCATCAGCCATGGTCTACGCTTCCAGAGAAACCGATCAATCGAAGACCATGACACAGTAATATGGCTCGGCGACTTCAACTACCGAATAGGTCTGAACAATGAAAAGGTTCAACGGCTATGCCATGTCGGTGATCTGGAGACCTTGTACGACAACGATCAGGTAGGTACTCGTCCTTTGCTAATGGGAATCAAAGCTAACATGTAATAGCTCAATCTCCAGATGGTTGCCGGTTTGACCTTCCCATACTATTCCGAGGCTCGTATAACTTTCCCTCCGACGTACAAGTATGATCTTAATAGTAATCAATACGATACGTCGGAGAAAGCACGTATTCCCGCTTGGTGCGACCGTGTACTTCGCAAGGGTGACAACATCCGACAAATACACTACAACGATGCACCACTTCGCTTCTCCGACCACCGACCAGTTTATGCAACCTTTCAGTTATTGGTGCAGCGGGTCGATGAAAAGAAGAGAGATGCTGTGAAGGCGGCTTTGTACAGACAAAGAAGAGAAGTTGTGGGTGATACTCATGCAGCAGGGCGTTTGGGCGAAGATGAAACAGATGATGAAGACTTGCTTGGATACGATAGCATTGAGCCAGGGCTGCCACCTGCGAGCTCAGATCGGAGGAAATGGTGGCTTGACAACGGTACCTTCATCATAATTCCTGCTATAGCTTGGATGCTCATATTCCATAGGTTTACCGGCGAAAGCACGCGTAGAACCGCCATCTAACAACCACTCTCCGAACCCGAACCGACCCAGCAACCCATTCACGCCCAGTCCAGAACCAGAATGGGTAGACGTCAAGCACCTGCCGAGCAGTCGCAGACCAGAGCCTCCGCCAGCGCGCGGCTCACAAAGATCACGCACAGTCGACATCGACGGCCCCTCCACAAGCTTGCCACTAACGCAGAAACCAGCGGCCCGCAAGATGATTGCTCCATTATATCCGGGACATGCCAATCAAATTCTCAGTTCAGATGGTGCGCGGGACTCGCTCAACGACCTCCGACGCAGCGGCTCAAGCGCTTCCACGCACTCCATGCCCAGCTTACCGTACCGCGCATCAAACACGCTCCCCTCAACTCAATCCTCCAACAAACCACAGGTACTCCGCAAACTAGCCCCACCACCAATCCCTAACAAGAAACCCTCTCTCCTCTGTAAAGATTCCTCACCAGGCCCATCCTACGCCCCTCCTCCCCAAAGATACCGGGATGATCCTCCAGAAGAAGAATCAAGAGGATATCCCCCAACGCAAGCTAGGCGGTCAATGGCACCGCCTCCGAATCTGACAAGGAAACCAGTGCAGAATCTCATCGATGATGATTTTGAGAAACCGGCTTTGCCGCCACGCACAGGGACTGGTGGGAGTAGTAGGAGTGGTGGTCGGGGAGGGCGGAGTTTGATGGATGATGAGCCAGAGGACATGCGCAACATGGGTGGTGATTGGGAAGTGCTTAGGCCTGCGCGTAGATAGAACTATAGCTCTAACATGATAGGTTCATGCTATTTTAAAGTCATGCCTTGTTGTTTAGCTAAATACCACTACAAATTTCCGTTGTTCACGACCAACCCGACACAACAGACTGCATTATCATGGTATGCAGGTGGAAGTTTTGTGACTCCGAACCCAAGTCACGGGATGGCGCGTGCAGTCGCGTCAGGGCTAACCCCGATAGCACACCTAACAAACACCATCCACAGGCCATGAGCATCAACAACGCGACCGCGCATGCAACACATGCGTCTAGTTTAGCATGAAGAGGAAGCGCAGCCCCCACGGCGCTGGAGGCGTTCGCAAGAAAACGAGGCGCGCCGTGGACCAATCCGCTATCAACGCTACTCATCCAGTCCTGCGACGTCTCTATCCAGAAGTTCTTACTCTGCGCCAGTACTTGCTGTCGCGACTACCAAATACATCCAAAAATAGACATCGAAAGATTTCGCAACTTGGACGTGCAACACCCACTCAAGGCACAAGTTTGGATCGTCTTGACATGGCCGTTGTGCAGTTGCTCGATTCAGCATTAGTGTGCGGACCAAGTGTACATGCAGACACGGATGCTCATACGCGTTTCACCGAAGAACGCGAAAAGGATATCCAGGCGTTTACCCAACAGCGATCACAAAGTACTCCGGGCGGCACGTTCAATCCTGGGTACTATATGCAATCTGAGGTAGGTCGTGACACGTATCACACACTTCCAGGGTTACGCTTATCGAATGACTACTGAGTGTACATAGATTGTCGATTTCGTGATATGGCGCTTATTCAAACGTTCAACATCTCACAAGCCAACGCACCTGCTCTGTCACGGATTCCAAAGAGCAGGAAACACCCGCCGTAAACAGGGCAACAATGAGGACCTGAGTTCTTCAATTCCTAATCTGCAAGAACACCAACCCAATAATTACAGGCGAACTTTGAAAGAGCCAGCATGGTGTCGATTGCACGCATTGCTCGGCCAGGGTGGCGACCGCATCGTAATGGACATGCTCCTAGGATGCTCCATCTTCATACCAGTTAACGCGGATATGGGCAACTACTACCAATTGTCTGGTGTACCTGTGTCGGAGGTGAGGTTGGATGAACCTCAGAAGAGCAACACCGCAAAAGTCAGTGCGGACCAGGAAGCGGTCGACAAGCTCTCACGTATCAAGAGCGAATGCAAGACGCCTGGTGCAATTACGTTCGTCCGAAGTCGTATGCTATACGCGAAAGCGGCCTTAAATGCCAAAGGTGGTGTGAGGTTTGGGCTACGCCATATTCGTACATTTCCACTATCCTTCGAATGCTTTGGTTACCTAACTTGACTCGTAGATATCCTAAATCGTTTCCCTGATCGCGATGACAAGCAGCAGACGATACATGTCATGAGATATATCTTCCCCCGTCAATTCGGCTTACACAATGTCTTCACATCCAAGGTGGATCCGCGTGACACCGCTATGCCTTTCAAGGACTATACGCTGCGAGAGAAGGATATACACAGTAGCATGTGCCGAGAGCTGGGTAAAAAAGCAACAGACGCTCAAGAAGTAGCCAAATGGAAGCAACGAACACCCAAAAGGCTCCGAGGTGACATTATTAAGTTGGTTGAAAGACTTCGGATTCGCAACCAGCGATGTTCATACATGGAAATGCTTCGGCATTACTGCCCAATCGAGGTACCTATCGAATCTTCTATGTATTGAAGGAACTTTACTAATTCAGACTAGGGAGTACCTTTATCAACGAGGCCGGGATGGAGGAAGAGCGCACTTCAGCCGAAAGCAGATGTACGGCCAGTCGCAGAGCCAACTAAATGTGACAAAAAGTGTCAACCTACGGCCGGAGCTCGCACCGTTCAGCAAACCTGTTTCACAGATCTTGCCTGTCCAGCAGCACACGTCTCGGCCTTTTGTCGCGCAGTCATATCTAAGGTTGTACCCGAAGGCTTCTGGGGTAATGAACAGAACAAACGCACTCTCATGTATTGGGTAGACCAATTCATAGATCTTCGAAGATTCGAGTCCCTTAATTTGCATCAGGTCACACAGAACATACAGGTATGCATTTTCCTACTTGAGTATGAATCTGTGCTAACGGACCCCAGATTACAAACATAACTTGGTTGCGCCCACCCAGTCAAGAAAATGACATGAAGCTGTCCAAATCGGATATAGACAAACGTGGGGAGATATTTCTTGAATTCGTCTACTGGCTCTTTGACTCCTTCCTCGTCCCCCTGGTCCGCACAAATTTCCATGTAACTGAGTCCAGCGCACACCGGAATAGGCTATTCTACTTCCGCCACGATGTCTGGCGAATGCTAACAGAACCTGCTTTGACGGAATTACGTATGAATATGTTTGAAGAAATGCCCACGGAAAGCACAGAAAGGTTACTGTCCGCACGCCAACTTGGTTTCAGTAACATTCGTCTCCTGCCCAAGAAGCAAGGTTTTCGGACTATAACGAACCTCAAGAGAAGACAGCAGGTGATGCGGTATGGGACTATGACTCTCGGGCGAAGCATCAACGCGGTAATGACACCAGCATTCAATGCGATCACCTATGAGAAGGTCAGTATATTGCTAGAGCTGACCGAGTCATCAGCGCTAACCAGAAGCAGTCACTACGACCAGACAAGTTCGGCTGCTCCCTATTCTCTGTCGGAGACATGTTTCCCAAGCTTGCGTCTTTCAAGGCTTCATTGCGACAACGGGGACTCGGCGACACTCGGCTTTACTTTGCCAAAGTCGATGTGCAGGCCTGCTTCGATACCATACCACAGTCACGCTTATTGCGTATGATCGACAGTCTCATGTCGATCCAAGCTTACAACACGGGCAAACATGTGGAGATATCTCCCCTGCCATCTCTACAACGCCTCGATGGCAAACACGTAGATCCGATGCCTCTAAAGAAGTACATTCCGCACACTCACGCAGCAACGGACATGACGCCTTTCAACAAACTCGTGCAAAATAGACTGGTTGGCACAAAGGCCAACACCATTTTTGTCAACACTAACCTACAACGGTGTGAGACTAAAGACGACTTGATGCAGCTCTTACAGGAGCACATAGAAAGAAATGTTGTCAAAATTGAAAGCGCTTCTATCGCCAGAAGACTGGCATACCCCAAGGTTCCGTCTTGTCGAGCATCTTATGCAACTTCTTCTACGCGCAACTAGAACGCGATGTCCTCGGATTTCTGCTCGATGATGACTCTTTGCTGCTTCGTCTACTTGACGACTTTCTTCTGATCAGTATCAACGAAGAGTACGCGCGGCGCTTCGTCTGTGTTATGCACAAGGGCCATCCGGAATATGGCGTAGTGATAAAGCCTTCAAAGTCATTGGCCAACTTTGACGTGATGACAGAAGAGGGGACCCGAATCGCTATCAGCGACTCAGATGGCAAATTCCCGTATTGCGGCATCTGTATCGATACGACGACGCTGGAAGTCAGCAAGAAAACAGAATGCCCTACAAAAATCAGTAGGTTGCATTGGGAGCATGTTCTCTATTGATGGCTTTAGAGGCTAACTACTCCAGGTGTCGAGGACTCTTTGACAGTAGATCTGACCAAAATGCCCGGCCAAACGTTCCATCGCAAAGCTCTCAAGTAAGTCTCCATACTCGGTACACAGGTCCGACCAATCGGGTCATGGAGAGGATGGAAAAAATGCGACATTTCACTGATATTCGATGGTAGCGCGTTCAAAATCCAGCTCAAAGCTATGTTGATCGATCAATCGTTGAACAGCGTGGCAACTGTACTAGCGAATTTGCATCAAAGCTTTGTTGAAGCGGCGGTGAGGTGCCTCGAGTACGCACGCGCGCTATCCAAAGTGCGGACGACGTGTTCGAATCTGCTTATCAGTACGTCTAAACTTTCCTGTTCTGAAGCGTTGGAGTCCAAATCCATCGAGGTGTGTATGCAGGGCTGCCCAGTAAGAGGCTGCACGTGGAATGAATGATGGTCAGATAACACAAAAGCGAGCACAGTCTGCGCCATGGACGATCGTGATTGCGGCCAGCTACGCTAGCCAAGGAAATTGCTGACCGTGGAACTGCAGAGACGGTAGACAATATCATTGCGCTAGCCTATGTGATGCTACAGCGCCGTTCACGATCGCGTGGTAGCAGGGAGGCGAAGATTGTGCAGGGCGTCATTTCGCGTCGGCAACTTCAATGGTAAGTTATGGCTAAGCTTCCATGTCATATAACTTATGTGGGTGGATGCACGATCTGCGATTTGGCTAGATCGACTCCACGGTTCGGAAGATGACATGGCGGGGCTCGTATTACCTGTTTCCAACGAAGGCTAATTTGGAGGGATAGGCTGGCTTGTAAAGCTTTTCAGAGAGTGTTTCAGCGCAAGCAGACACAGCACCGCGCGCTACTAGCCTGGCTGAAAGTGTCTCTCGCGGCAGCTTGCATTTCTGACGTGACAGAGAGACGCATGCTGGAGGCGGCAATTACTTGGCGTTGAAAGCTTGATGCGCTAACAAAGCGGACTGAAAAGATAAGTTGCAGGACAGGCTTTCAAGCTGATGTTGGGAGTGGTGACGGGTCAGGAACTCGGGAAGAAGCAACCTAAGGATCTGTGCCAGGGGCCCACGTTTAGCGGCGGCATGTGGGCGCAACTGCAAGCCTTGGGCCTTGGCTGCAGCAGCTTCGGGAGTGACGGATGGACTGTAGAGAGGATGATGTCGTTATTCGTCTTTTCATGCATGTTGGAGCGCTATGCTATTGAGGCAAAGCACAGTAGTGTAGAGACGGCCCAGTACTTGCGCCTGATAAGCATCAGGTTAAGCAAGTAAGAAGATGTGATTGGCCCTCAACTTCTGGTATCGTGATGTCAAGCGTAGATGCGACGGCTGGGACGCCAACCCCCATCCCAATTACGCCGGGGTCGACTATGCAGGCTTCCAACTGACGGACAGCCTCGTAAAACGCGTTGCTAGGCGCATTGAACAAGGGCCCAGGGCCAGCTGGGGAAGCATACTTGCCTCAGTCCATCGTATTCGTTTTGCGGTTTCAAGCAACCCTTTGGCATATCGCTGCATCCTCACCCTTTGCCCCCATGCCAGTTCCCATTCCCAACGTAGAATCGTCCGCTGCTTGCAATTAAACTCGTCCAAGGCACTCTGCGCCGCTGACGGGTCCAGAGCACTGCGAGGCCCACCATTGGAGTCTATCCCTGTCCCCCGACATCAGGGGTTAGCGCAAGTTCCGCAAATTGCGTCGCCAAATCGACAAAGATGCCGGCGGTGCAGCATCAACAGCGACTGCCTCCTGTCTACGAAGCTGGAGATCACGAGTTTTCAGACGCCGACCTTCACTACATCTCACAGGAAACGTCATTGTATATCATTTCCGAACATAGCTATGTGCCTTCATTGATCAGAGCCCCTTGCGAGCGCGACAATAGCTGCGCGAACCAACAACCACACCGCATTGGCACATCACTACGCCTCTCAACACAACGAAGACCACCCCGACCGCTCATGGCCACCCTCACCTACGCCCAAGATGCCCAGCAAACTTTTGGCGCACCGCCTGGCAGCCCGCCTGACCTCACAAACTCCAAGTCGTCCAAGTCGTCAAGCATCCATTCGTCAACTCTCCTAGACTTCATGGGCACAACGGAGAACCTCTCCCACTTTGAGGATATTAACCTAGACGAAGCATCAGGTGGGCCCTCTTCCTTCCCCATGCCAGCGAGCCCGTCTAATCGCATCCTCTTTGAAGCCCCACGAGCCTCTCTTTCCACCAGGAGCCTCCCGCATTCACATTCGGCCCACTCCTTCCGCGACCTGACCGGCGCAACCAAGCCAAAGTACCCGAGCTTGAAGGGCCCGGTCAACCATGCTGTGCGACAGCAGGCCCAGCTGTCCGCCCCAGGGAAGCAGCAAGCTAGGAGAGGCTTCACTTCGCCGTCTGTCCCATCGCTCTCCAGCCTGAGCCTCGCTGCACCCCAACGCTCTTCCCGATCACCATCCCCATCAAGCACACACAAATCCGCCTCGGGGCCGCGCACACTATCTCGCAAGAGCTCTCGGAGTGATGTTTTGCCGTCGCCAGGGTTGGGCTCAAGGAGGCCGTCATGGCAGGACTCCAAAAGAAAAACTGTAAAGGAAAGGGAGGCCGAGTGCGATGATGAAGATGACGAGCTTCCCGAGGATGCTGTTATCTGGAATATCCCCATCTCGCCACGCCCCACGATGGATCGATCATCAGAGTCCTGGGTTGGCGAGAGCCCGCCTTTGGCGTCGCCCAATCCCGACGCGTTAATATCGTCGTCTTCGAGGTCTTCGAGGACTTCTCCCGCACCTTCCGTATCGCGTGTCTCCCAGAGAACTCCTTCTCCCAACGTTTCTAGCAGAGGCGTATCTCCACAGTCAGCGACACAGCCGAACACGTGGGCAGAGACGTACACCGCATTAGATACGGATGCCAAATTCCTTACTGGAAAACTGGAGGAGTTTCAATCTGAGAATGAGCGAAAGCAAGAAATTTCGAGACAACAGCCCGGTCTTACACGATCAGCATCCTTGAGCCAGCCTGAACCGAAGAGCAAAAAGCCGGCTCTCCCACCTGTCCGTAAGAGCGATCCTCTAATCGATCCGTTCCAGCCGTCGGTTGAGAAGCAGAAGTACCTCTCGCGGACCCGACCTTCGTGGCTTCCACCCAAAAATCCCAAGGAAGAGAAGAAGCACCTTAAGGAGTACCAGCGCATGTTGGCTCGCATTGAGGAAGCTGGTAAGTCATCTATGCCTTCAGACTGCAATCCGAAAAAAATCACATGACTAACAGTCGCAGAACGTCTCGAGGCTCAACGTGCTCAAGAAGAAGCGATAGCTCGTGAAAAGGCCTCCCGCGTCAAGGCAGAATACTGGTCGAGCCTACTTTTACCAAACTGGGCCACCGAGATGACAAATTCCGAGCTCCGTGCCTCGCACAGGAAGATGTGGTGGAACGGCATTCCTCCACGGTTGCGAGGTCAGGTCTGGCAGATGGCGATTGGAAATGATCTTGAGGTTACGGAAGCGACCTACAACATTGCCTTGGAGAAAGCACGCAAAGAAGTCAAGACGCATGGCCACGAAGCGCTCGGAGGCCGCTATGTCTACATTGTCGAAAGCACCCAAGCAGTGTTCCCTGATCTCAAGATGTTCGCCGCACGAACGTCACAGGAGGCAGAGGACGAGCAACCGCTACACCAGGACCTCGTCGACATATGTCTAGCCTACTCGATGTACCGCCCGGACATTCCACACTCAAAGTTCGACATACATCACATCGCCGCATTGCTCCTGTTGAATCAAGCCGCGCCACAAGCTTTTGTCGCCCTGTGCAACCTCCTCAACCGTCCGCTACCCCTGTCCTTCCTCATCCACGATCAAAACGCCATACATGCCGCCTACTCCACAACACTTCACGTCTTGGCGAAGAAAGCGCCTAGTCTGGCTCAACGACTAGAGACGTTACGTGTTGAGCCCAGAGATTATCTGTTCCACACACTGGGCTCCTTATTCTGTGGCCGTCTGGGCGTCGAGCATGCCGCGCGCATAATGGACATATACACGATCGAAGGCGACAAGAATCTTCCACGGGCCGCAGTCGCCATACTCAGCATACTAGAGGGCAGCTGCATGGAGGGCGACGCGGCGCAGGTTGCAAAAACACTACGGGAGAAGAAGATTGACCTTGACGTCGACGACTTCATGACCAAGGTTTTTGAGGCGGGCAAGAGCTCGTAGTATATTACCGCTGGTGTTGGTGGCCGTAATGGTTACTAGTGGCAATCAGAAAGTATTAATACCATATTGTACAGTTGAAAGAATAATTAGATAATCAACAGAACGGAAGAGAGACAGAACACAGAAAAAGATGGACGATATACGAAGACTCATGCAGCGCGATTTTGAGAGCTGAACACATCTACTTGTCATTTTTCATTTTTCCCGCATACAATGGCGTCGTCGATTTCCTTGCGTTCTGCATACATGGAGTTTTTTTTGCTGTCGGTAACAGAGGCTTATATCGCCATACAATCAGTTTCCTAGCTATCTTGTATATACAACGTACCTCTTAGACCATGGGGGATGCGAAAGCCTGGTGGTAAGTAGCTAAGTTAGAATCAAACATATTCCTACCAAACATAGCCTTAGACGGCTTCCCTTTAGTGCTCTTGGGTGAACTACGTGACTCCGTGCTTACTCGCTTTACCCCTCACCTACATATCGACGTAATGGCGGGGTTAGTTTGTGTTAGTGACAAGGGTAACGGCAACGTACGGGAGGCGTTATCGTTTGTCGTGGCGTAGCTGAGGTGGAAAAGGGAGTACGGGAGCTAGTTTTTTCGGCCTTCGTATACAACGGTGCGGGAGGGGCGCTTCCAATAGTACGTTGCAATCTCCGATGAGATGCTAAACAGTTCAGGTTCTTGTACAGTCCTGGTCCACTTCAGTTTTGCTCCTTATTGTGCGTTGGAGTAAGAGCAGGAATGATGTTGTACGCTAGCGATCGGGACTAGCGTCGTATCCGCCTGAAGTCATAGATCTGGACAGGCAACCACAACACAAACACTCACCGACAAGCTACGACTTTTGTTTCTTTCGTGTATACACAAACACCTTCTCACAATACATACTATCGGAAAGCAACACTTAGCTTGTTTCTTCCATTACACATTGACGTAGCTACGTTTACGTCCGCTAGTTTAAGCTTGCATCTCACAAACCAGATACATGGGAAGCACCACTCACATCACATCACGTATTTGTAGGCAGTATTGACTAGATATTACTGTTGTTCTGTCTGAAAGGTAGTAAGTATGCTCATACAAGTTCCCTAGTCTCTTCCACTAGCAAAGATGACACGACGTGCCTCATGGCTTAATCTCCCACGAGTGCGCCTCTCCAGATACTTCGCAGCAGATAACCCGAATGCGTGGTTTTGATGTGCGAAAGCTTACTCTCTGAGCTACTATACATCTTCATCAATAATCATTTACACCTCGCAGGATCAGTATGCTAACCTGACAGTAGGGCCTTTGTTGTAAACTTTGCCGTTTCGGTCTTGATTACCATGAGTATTTTGCGAAGAGATCATGTCGTCCTGAGAAACATTATCCTGGCACGTGACCTTCCCCTCGACTCGTTCTCGATTGTTCAACAACTCCTCTGTTCTTAGTCACGACCCCCACTGCGGCGCATGTACGTCTCTGAGTGAGAAGCAGGCACTTGGTCTACTTCGGTTTTGAGAGGATTGGGATAGGGATTTTAACCATATAACGACGAGCTGAAACCTCCAGGGTAGTGGTTGTGCGTGTCACTGAGCATTGTACTAGGCTCAGAATATTTGTGACTTTACATTGGCTGCTCCCAGCATCAGCATCTTTGCCCTTTGAGATTGGGACGATTTGGCGGACAGTTCCATCATTGCTTGACCTCTACCTGGCTCATCTGTACTGCCATTATTGGTCTTCTGACGTCGAACATGTAGTGTCACATTTAATAATACTCATTGTACAGGATTCGGTATCGACTTCTCCATGTACTCATACCAAATCAACCCCGCTTCTCCTTGTTCTCGGCCGCCCTTCTCTTCGCCCGCACTTCTGCCTTTCTCCTCTCTCCACCATCGACCTTGTGTCCTCTCCTTACTTCCCAGATACCCTCTTGCAGCCGTATCCGCGCTCGCAAACCTCCACTTCCCTTGACTGGCTCCACATAGCTGCCTTTGATCGTCTTCGCGCCCTTAACGATAACGCCTTGCACCTTTGGTAATGTCTCAACAGGTTCAACTGGTGCTTCGGCGCCGACAGGTACATTGACGACCAGCTTCCTCGTTCCCGGATCATGTGTGGCTGTCGCAGCCGCAGAGCGAGGACTTATCGTGTTGCCGAGTTGGGGGTTTGGCGGTACTGGTGCTTCTACAACCTTGAGTTCTGCTACTCCATCTGTGACGTGCTTGCAGTCTCCTCCAATGCCATATTCCCCATTCCTGTACTTCTCTCGCCACTGTAAAAGGTAACGTCTTGAGCGTGCTGGCTCAACACCGAGTTCCTTCAGTTGCGGCCCTGAGAGTGTGAAAAGGGCCTCCCAGGACGGTATCTTGGTTGCATGTGCGGAGAGGCCGCGGCCAATTGCGCTGAGGAAGGCAGTATGGTCGGGGATGAACGGTATCGGCTTAGGAACAGGGCGCATAGGGATTGAGTGTTGGAGATTTCGTATGCATGTCTTTGATGCTGACACTGCGGAGGTCGCATTGAGAAGTGGGCGTCTGAGGATCATGATGGCGGTTGCTGCGACATAGTTAGCATCAGTACATACATGGAGTTGTTGCGCATAGCATACTGTACGAAGAATTGCGTGTCGCGTAGCAAATCCCCCCAATTCGCGTTGATGTCGAAGTTGCAGTCGCCGTGATTTTCGGGAAAGCCAAGACGACGCTAACACCCGCAGCATCGCGGCCAGCAGCCCCACGTCACCAAGTCACCCAGAGCTCCACAAGCTTACAGCCCAAAACACCAATTGGCAGTAGTAGAGAGTCTCCTATTGCACGCCTACCACCATATTCATCATGTCCGGCCCCGAAGTCCACCACCTCTTCCACCATCCCATTGCGGACCATTCCTTCTCCGCCGACCGCCAGACGCTCGCTGTAGCCCGCGAGAACAACGTTGACCTCTTCTCAAAGACGGGCAGTGGATACAAGCTCAAAGACGAGCTGACAGGCCATGACAAGACAGTCACGGGCGTAGATATTGCACCCAACTCTGGCAAGATTGTGACTTGCTCGCAGGGTAAGCTCGGAGCTATCTGGTGGGCTGGAGCAGGCAGCTGACGAATTGGACAGATCGCAATGCCTACGTTTGGGAGCCTTCACCGCAAGGATGGAAGCCTACATTAGTGCTTCTGCGTATCAACCGAGCTGCTACATGCGTTCGTTGGGCACCTTCTGAGACCAAGTTCGCAGTGGGATCTGGTGCTCGCCTGATCCCCGTCTGCTACTTCGAAGAGGAGGACAACTGGTGGGTCTCCAAGCACATCAAGAAGCCCATTCGCTCCACCGTCACCTGCGTCTCCTGGCACCCGAACTCCGTGTTGCTCGCCGCAGGCTCTACCGACGGACACGCTCGCGTGCTCTCTTCTTTTGTCAAGGGCGTGGACGAGCGCCCTGAGCCCTCGGCGTGGGGAGAGCGTCTACCCTTCAACACCGTGTGCGGCGAGTACCTGAACAACACTGCAGGTTGGGTCCACAGCGTTGCCTTCTCTCCCTCGGGCAACGCCCTCGCCTTCGCATCTCACGACAGCACTCTCACCGTCGTCTACCCCAGCGGTCCCGAAGAAGCTCCCCGCGCCATCCTTAGCGTCAGCACTCAAGTACTGCCCTTCATGTCACTAGTCTGGAGCTCCGAGGCTGAAATCATTGCTGCGGGATACAACTGCGAAGCCTATCGCTTGCAGGGTGATGAGTCTGGCTGGAAGCTTGCAGGAAGTCTGGAAGCGAAGAGCCGACCTGGTCTTTCGGATCAGCGTGAGGAGAGCGCGTTGAACATGTTCAGGCAGATGGATCTCAAGGGCAAGTCGGGCACGGATGATACCAAGCTCAAGACTGTGCATCAGAATACCATCAACACCATCCGCAGCTTTGAGGAGAGTGGAAGCGGTGTCACCAAGATCAGTTCTACTGGTGTGGACGGCAGGGTGGTCATCTGGACTTTGTAAGCACAGATTCACAGACTTGAAGTCATTTTGTACACAGAAACAAAAAATCAATTCTCTCGCACACTACTAGCGAGAGTGGAGTAGCCCGGATATCACAAACACCTCCAATAACCATACCACTTGATCCCAGCTGAATGCATGGACGCGCCCATCCAGATGCTTCTATTATCGTACATTGCTCCTTACTTTTCCCGCACATAGCTAGTCTCTTATAGCAAACGTACGCATAACCCCGTAAACGCCAGCCCTACGTAACCCGCTTAACCAAAGCCAGGGAAACCTTGCGCATTGAAATCAAGCGCTGCAGTGGGTGCTGGAGCGCCCCTGCCGTACCCATACCTTGTGTCGTCTGCGCATCGTTCAAGAACCAAGACCAATCCTGATCGATATCCATGGGCATATGCTGCCACGAGAAGTTATTCGTAGGTAGTGGGAAGTTGTTCATGCTGTCGTCGTTGATCTGGGAGTTGAACGTGCCTCCCGCAGCGGCGCCCGTTGTCGACGCATCATCTACGTTGAGGTTGTTCCAGTTGTAAAAGCCGTCATACGATACAAAGGGTGAAGGATCAGTGAAGCCGAAGGCCGAGGTACCGGTACCAGCGGAGACGGATGTCTTTGGCGTGACATTAAGGGACTGTGTGGGTTGCGAGAATATGTCCGACGCAGAAGACTGTGACGGCTTCTCAGACGTGGGTGTGTAGAGTTGTGCTGATGTACCTGGGGACCTTGAGCTCATCATGCTGGGCGAGCGAGAGGGAAGTTCCGGGCCCTTCTTGACCAACTGGCCCCCTCTCTTGATAGAAATGGTACCAAAGTACGGGATAACAAAGTCCGATTTTCCGCTGCAGGGTCCCTCCTCATGGTCGAGACTTGTGCCTTTGAATTTGCTCAACATCTGCTCGAGAACCTGTGCGGATTGGGCGGCTACTTTGCCTCCCTTTTCGCTCGATGCGCGACGGAAGATGTCGATGCTGACCTCGATGAGACGCACATCTTCCTCAATGTCCTTGGGGGTAGGACCGCTAATTGAAGATTGTGAACCCATACCGGAATTGAGAAGACCGATCAAGATCAGGACTGCGGCTGTGAAACCGATGAAGTCGATAGCTTTGCACTCGTAGAGCGGCTGGACATGTCCTGTTCGTAGAGACTGGTACAACCTTAGGACTTCTCGCGAGCCGTTCAAACATGCCGTTTTTGAGTATGAGAAGCGCGAGTTTGATGCTGCCTTGAGCATGAACGGCAAGTGCAAGTACACACGGATCTGATGGAAGACCATCTGACCCATGATTCGCTCTCGCAATTCCGCCGCATTTGATTCTGCGTCGGCGAGTAACTCGGTGTAGTCAAGCCACGCTGGATCGAACTTCTTCCACAGATCCTCAAGCTCCTGGTCGAGCTGCAGTGCCCAGGCGAAGGACTGCTCGGCAACTCCCTGGTTTCGATCAATGACCCTCCCTGCGAGCTGCGAGAGCTTCGTGATGCCAACCAATGGATGAAGGTATGTGCCGTCGCCAATATCGGGCATCGTTAAGTCGCAATGCGCGTCGCTAATACCGTATGGAAGACCCAGCAAGAGAGACAAGAAACGGTCCCCATGGTACATAGCCCACCAAATGCTCTCGTGTGGAGCGGAGGAAGTGCGCTTGCGGTGTAGCCCCTTCTTCAAGTAAGTCATGATGTGATAATGTGGGAGCGTGTAAACTTACCATTAGCTGGGCATACATCAAGCCCTTGCGGTACGCGATCCAGGCTCTTCGTGGTTGACCTACATCCGCGTACCACTTAGACTTCAAGATCAGACATTCTAGACCTTCCAAGCTTGCCGCATACTCATCGTCAGACAGGAACCATCGGTCCACAGCCTCGATATAGCGTTCGACATCGTCATCGTTCTCCGATGAGCAAATACCAACCGACAAAACAACAGTAGCAATAGCGCCGATATTCCCGGTCGTCAGAGCCTGGGCAGCGAACTGAGGCAATGTTTGCTCAGGACCGGAAGTGCCACTGCATTTTCTCCGCCACGTCTGCCACCAGTCACTGTTGGAGTTCAGGAGTTTGGTGAGTTGGTCGTAAGGCGGCAACATGGCAATGAGTGCTTGCTTGGACCTCTCTCGTTTCGCAGAGTGCGCGATGGTGCTTCCAGCCGCGATGTCATCATCATTTTTGTTTTCTACAGTATATCGATCTTCAGCCACTTGGCCGGGCCTTGGTGTTGAGCTCTGTTGATCAGCATTGCGGGCTTTCGCTTGCGCTTCAGCATCGTTGAGCTATAGACAATAAGCTTAAAGATCGGATTCAGGGAGTAGGAATACATACTGCGTCTTCGAACACAGAGAGGATTGGTACATGATGGCCTCGATCCGAGGCAGCACGCTGATTTTCCGGTACTCGAAAGATGTTGGACGAGGCTTCTGAGGAAAGAGGAGTGGGTGGAAATGTATCCTTGTGATAGATGGTGGGCGCTTTTGGTGATGATGTGTCGGCTAAGCTTTGGCTCTGACTCCGGCTTTCTGACTTGACAGTCTTGTCTTCAAGCAAAGTGTCAATCAAGGCCTCCAGTCTTGATACTCGCTCTCGGAGGTTCTTCCTATGATCGACAATGACTTCAGGGTTGGCATGTTCTTGGTCGATGCACCTGCTGCCGCGTGCGAAGCATTCTGAGCAAACATCCGGGTTGTCGGGCTGGAAGATGCATCGGATCTTGCGGCGACGACCTGTATTACATCAGAAAGGCTCACGGTATGGTGATGATGAAAGGCAGAGTAGAGATTGAGGTTGGCGTAGTGATGCACAGGTGAGACAAGAGTAACAGTGAAGGATAGCAGTATGGTGTGAAGTAATCATTCAACATGAGGCAACAACTGGTTCCACATACATTCGAAGCAGCTGTGCGTACCCTTACGCATCTTCTTGCGTGTCGGCAACGTCTCCTCCTTGGGCATCTCGATTCGTTGTGTTCCAACCACCCAGATCGTGCGAACCTAGCTCTTGCGACTTATTCGTCCGGACTCGGCTCTGCGTCGCGCAAACCGGATCACGGAAGTTTGTTGATATATAATCGCGTCTGCAACTCGTTTCTCCTGCGGAATAAACGGATCAGGCTGACGGGAAAGAAATAAAAGAGATCAGTAGTAGCAAAGGGACAGCCGTCAGCTTCTGGTGGTGACAGCGTTTCAAAGCAGAACGAGGAGGGCCGGACGGGGATTTCGTCCGTTAGGTCCGTGTATTAGGTCAGCGAAGGAAGCTGAATAACGCCGCACAACGCCCGTGAAAGGGCTACTGTTGACTACAGAATCTTATAGAAAGCCAGAATTTCCAGGCAGCAGTTTATCCTGCGTTTGAGGCGGGTGTTCGGGGACTCGGTCGAGCCGGAGCTCCTCTAATCCCCGTTCCCCATTCGGCGAAATATGCGAGAAACGATGCGAATGGTCTTCATGAACACATTGGTGGTTAGCCTGAGGCTGTGCTAATGCTTGAGTCGACCTCGAAACATGGCGTTGGCGGTCAATACCGCCATGATACGACTTGGCGGTGCCCGAGACTTCCATGCCTGGTGCGCCGTATACGCGTATTCTACCCCGCGGGAGGCCCCGCGACCCTCGTTCATGATGCGCTCCTTCGTTCGAGGGGAGATGGGTGCGCTACCAGAATCATAGTCTGGACCCGTTATGACATCGTTTTCAGAGTGCTTGCGTGGAACGCGGGTCGATGCAAGCTAGCAGCCCTATGAATGGATAGTGGGCACGCATCGTCATTCCGCGCTCAGCCGCATCATACCTAAGAATACCGCAATCCCAATGTCCATCTTTCCAAATCCAAGGTCCTAGCCAAGAAGATCTACCAACCTTGCTATACAGATTCTCGGCATGGTGTTTTGATTGAAACCACTGGATGAATATTCCTGGCATCCACATCAGTTTGCTGCAGTCTACACGTTTCTTTGAACAACATGTCTGCAGCACACAACTATCGTCATAACCAGCATCTTCCACCGAGCCCACCACCGTCGCCTTCGTCTACACGACGAAGACAAAAGAAGAAACCAGATCCTTTTGAAGAACTCGCCACTGCACCAATACCATCGTTGCCCTCTTCTCCAGCAAACGAGCTGGACGACGATCAAGAACCCCTTCTAAAACGGGTAAGCCATATTGAGATAGCAGATTATTGCTAGCAATTCTAACAAATATTCAAGATTATCCTTACTCCTGTACTATTCATATCCTTCCTTCTCTCCCTCTTCCTCGTCAACTACCGCAACCGCGCCCGCCGAACAGAAGCACACTTGCCCGGCCTCTCCCTCCTCACCTATCTCGCTCCATCCAGCTGGCTAGATCCAGAACCCTACCAAGATCCTGATGATTCAACATGGGATCGAAGGGGAACCACTGGACATTTCGAGCCCCATGACGCTATAGGTCCTCGGCCAGACGAGCAAGGGGAGGAGAAACCAAACAAGAGGAAGAAGAAGAAGAAGAAGAAGAGAAAGTCATGGCATCTGAATAGGAAGATTAGAAAAATAGCCAAGTTGGAGATAGGCGATGCGCTTGAGATGCGAGGGCGCATGATTGTTGTCATGTTTATAGTATTGGGATTGGCTTGTGGCATGTTGTGGATGGGGGCCAAGTGGGTTATTGTCTCAGCATCGCAGCTGATCTATGGCGTGAAAGCCTGAACACTGGAGCGAAATGGGCGCCTTCCGAATCACGATAAGTACGATGCACGCAACGCAATGAAGTATTGATTGATTTCATGAACTATCTAAGATTCGGAGACTCGTTCCAGAATAACCATGTGACTACCAGAAAGAGGAAACGCCAGGTGGAGTCATCAAGAGACCGTTTCGTCGTTAGTATACAATCATAAGCGCGTCAGTCGTAAAACCAACGCCAACAAATAACCCAAGAACAAATACAGTTGGTCTACAAAGAAGGGTATCGCAGCCTTTTCAACGCCGGTAGCCATCTGGCCATGATTTCGAAGAAGAAACGTAGAGAACTTGTGAGAAGAGAAAATTAGAAAACGGAAATCTGCCTATTGAGGTCTCATGGTAAAGAGGCGCGCGACGAGTCGGTCGAAGAAGTAACCCATATCATCATCATGTCTCTTCTCTTTGGCTTTCTTGACCAGGTAGTCAGATGTATCCGCCTTTCTAATCGCCTCCCGCAAGCTCTGGATGAACGCATCTTCGGGTGTGCCCGTCTTGTGAGACTGCATAGACTCGCCCTCCCAGTCTGGTCTAAGTCTAGCGTGGCAACCGGAGAAGCACGCGCTATAGAGTTCGAGAAGTGATTTGACACCATGATCATCGATTTCTATGTTTTCGACGGTGGTAGATGAGCGTGTGGCGTCATAAAGGTTGTGGTACGGCAGCTTCGCGGCATGGTAGTGTATAGACTCTACTGTCATCAAGACTGTAGTAAGAACAGCCAGAGCGATGGGCCAGTCGTCGCAGTCCTTGTTCAGAAGAAGTTGCTCCAATGATGCGAGCACGTCTTTCATTAAGCTGAGAGCAAGACCGGGCATGATCGCACCGAACTGCGAGCGGATAAAGCAAGGTGTAGGAGTGAGGTCCTCGGGTATATCCATCGTACTTCGGATGGTTTGCTCCAACATGGGGCTTTCCGAGCGTGATGGCAGCGTTATGTCGCCGCCAATGTGGACTAGTACAAGAAGCTTGAGCGCTTGATGGAGTATGCGGTGGTGAGAGGAGCTTGTTGGAAGGGATCGTGAGAAGACGTAGATATCGCGGAGAATTCTAAGTGGCGAACAGTAGAGCGGGAAAGCGCGGAAGTGATGCGCTACAAGTAGTGATAAATGAGAATCCAAGGTATGCAGTAGATGGTACTGTGCGTCAGCTGTTAGCACAGCTGGGAGAACGGCGTGCCTGTGTGGAGGACCGGTGTAAGACTGGGGTGGCCACGAGTAGATGATGTGTTCGTGTACCAGGGGAGCGTTGTCGTTGAGCTGTACAGCATGTACTGAGACAGGAAATGTCGGACCAAAGCCGAAATTCAATGGGACTGTGTAGGTAACGTCTTTGGAGACTTCGAAATTACCTGCCGGGACGAACGACTCCCAGGGTCGAGTGGTTGGATGCCAACCTAGGCTGTCGGCGAGGAATGCCGCAGAAAGGTCAACAAGAGTGTGGTCACGACAAGGATGGTTGACTAAGTCCCCTTTGTAGTGTTCAAGACAGGCCCTGCACGGAGTGCCAGGGTCGCACTTTTCCTTCCGTCGCTGGCAATTCGAGCAAGCGCCAACAATCCGCATCAACGCTGCATGGCGGCGCTGCTCAGCAGTCAAGGCTCTCTTTCGTCCTTTGGGCGCCCGTCCTGTCATACCCTCGGTACTCGTAGGTGCTAGCCGGTGCGTCAACGGGTTCGGGTGATAGGATACCCACCCATAGGAGTCAGGCGAGGGGGACGGAGTAGAAGTTTTGCGTCGAGAAAGCGAAGCGCTTCTAGACAACGTAGCACTGCGAGGGTAACGTGAAGCCACTGGTGATACTGAGAGTATAGGAGGAGCTCTTCGTGCTGATGTAGAGACTGTAGGTCGATTGTTGTAGCTGGTGGGTCCATAAGTGGCATCAGGAATGGCGATGGCTCTGCTGCGGCTGTGTAGATCATACTCGCCATCTGATCGCCGATAGGACGGCAGCGCCGGGTTATAGCTCTGCGAGAAGGTATGAGGGATGGCGATCGGCTCGACTTCTGCTCTGCCACTGTCATCTTCTGCAATGGGTTCGATGATTCGTGGCTGCTCCGCCCATGTACCCAGATTCGAGAACAAACGAGAGGCTCTAACGTCCAAACCACTGAAGGAGTGGGAAGAGTCCGTGACATGGGGGTTGAAGACGGTTTCGGTCGTGCTCTCGAGAGAACCCGAGGTGAAGGTTTCCGGAATGCGCTCATACCGTGTATCCAGGATAGGAGAATCGCTGATAGTACCTAGTGGCGATAGGAGGCTATTGTCACACGCGCCGAACGATCCAAAGTACTGACTATCTGCTTGGACAGCTAGCGGAGAAGTGGATATGGTGTCAAAGGACAGCGAGGTAACATTCACTTGTCCATATGAGGACTGCCCGTCTAGGATTGATGGTGGGGCGGAGACGGTATACTCGAGTGATGGTGGTCCATCAGCAACCGAAGGAGGTGCTGATACCAGGTATGTAGGCTCAGACGTGTAGCTTTCCGATAGCTGGTGATCTGCGACGTAGCTGCCTCCCTGAGCTCCAGTATAGCTGGTCTCGCCTTGAAAGAAAGGGTCGTACAATTCATCGTCCCAGTCAACGAGGTCCTGCCAGCTTTCGTTTGGGGAGCTAATGTACGAGAATTGAGACATTCCTAAGACTGACAGTGTTGTGTGTTAGGCTGAAGGGCAAGGAACCACCAAGAGTGGATGAAGGCCGTAAGGTTCACCCCTTCACTGAGGGTCTCATGCGATGAGTGATGGAAGCGTGTAGAGGCCGGAAGTTGATTTTTTGTGTTGGAAGACAATGATTGTCTGTGTAACATTAATCGGTGTTTCCAGGCTGCAAGGAGGCCAAAGTTATATTCCACACGCAGACTGGGGCGATTTCAGAGTGCGGCTGATCGCACGAACTTGACTGCCTTGCATCAAAGGCCGTCAGGACAATTGACGAGTAGTCGTTAACGGCCTTATCACGTTGTAGCTGCTTATTAGTCAATGACCAGAACTTACATGTAAATGGCCGCAGGCTGTTGGCACTGGGGAACTTTGCGTCGAAGGTATGATGTCTTAGGGCTGGTCGGCAGTGCCATCTGACCATGCGCGGGCCTGCAGCATGGCGGCCGGTCAACTCAATCTGTGGTAGCCTTGTCACCGTGCTTTACCGGGTAGTTCTCCCCACTGTATACCAACAAACTGACAACGAATCAGCATCAGAGATGTGAGCGACGTGCAACCTAGAGCCAGT